CCCCATTGCCCCCATTGCCCCCATTGCCCCCATTGCCCCCCATTGCCCCCCACTCCCACAGGTACTTACGGCGGAGGATCTCCCGCTGCTTGCGCACGTACCACGTGTACAGGGCAGCTCTCTTCTGGGTCTTCATGGGGGTGCCCTTGTTGAGGTGCTGGGACAGGTGGGACTGGTTGAGGCCGGTGACATCCACCACCTCCCTCTGGGGGATGTTGTGCTGCTGCATGTAGCCCTTGATCATCTTCGCTGCCCGCCACGGGTCCTCGCTGTGGGCAGGGAAACCAAGGGTTAATACCTGCTGCCAGGGGAAAGCCCCCAGGATTTGCTTCTCCCCATAACGGAGACCTTTCATTACTATCATTGTTAATTATTATTATTAAAACTGTTTCAGAAGGACACAAGATCCTTGGAGTGTATGTTTTTCCCAAAGCCCCCAAAACAGCCCTGTCCCAGCCCAGGGTGTGGGACGGGATGGGATGGGGGCTCACACCATCACTGTGTGATCACAGCCAGGCTGTTTCCCCAGAGAGCACCCCAGTGTCCCATCAGGACACACCAAGGTCCCATCCATGCCAGCAAAGCTCCTCCAGACCTCCAAGGAGAAGCACAGCCCGTCCAAGAGCTGCTGCCCTTGCGTTCGGCGCGATTTCCCCCATGGAAGATACGCACAGGCAGTGGGACACACGCATGGATGGGCATGGGGAGCCCATCCTGCCCTGCTAATGAAGAAGGAGCAGTGCTGGGGATGCTTTTCCTGCCCTGCTCAGGGTGCAGCACCTGCACTGTGCCCGTGCCCCCTGCCCTGCCGCCGAACCCCACACGCCGCGCTTGCTGTGCCGCTTCTTCCTTCCATTCCCACAGGGATAATGACCTAAAAATCTCAATGTCCCCTTAAAAAGGACCCTATTCCCTCGCCCTCACAGCTGTGCATGCACTGACCGTACGCAAAAGGCTGAGAAGCCAAGGTCAAACCAGGCACACAAACCCCGAACGCAAAACCGAAACCAAACCCCCGAAAATTTTGAGTCACTCCTGATTATTATTAAACACTTGAATTTGGCTCCTGTAGGACCCAGGTGTAAATGACTCTTCTCTAAATCACACTACTTTACTGCCCGCTGATTCAGTCTGCTGATTAGCGTAATTTAATTTTAGAAAAAATAAAATTATGAAAATTAGTTGAAAATCCAAATGCGGCCCGTGGTCTTTAGCTCTATCGAATGCCCAGTGTGACAGCAGAGCAAGAGGCCAAAACACCTGTGCTGTATCCAAGACCCCAGAGTTTATTTCGGGCTAAAAGGGAGCACCTTCAGCACTGAAAAATCAGTGTGCGCCCAGAGCTGGTCACAGTCCTGCACTCAAATAATGCGATGCCCCAACGCTGGCTTGGAACGTCCAACTGCTTTCCCAATTCATCACCAACTTTGGATCCTTCACCTTGTCAAGTGAAGGGAAAAAAAAAAAAAGCCCAACAAGTAAATTTCTTACTTTTATTCCTGAATGTAGCTTGAAAACAAAGCTGGTTGGATCCACGGCAAAACACCGGAGCAGAGCCAAGCTGGGCTTTGTCAGCCCTGGGAAGGAGCCACGGAGCCTTCCTGGAGCTGCTGAGCCCAAAGCTGCACCCCCAGGCAGGGAACCCTGCTGGTTTGGGGGTCCTGTCCGTGGGACGGCTCCCAGAGAAAGTGGGAATCAAGGAGAAGGATGTGGAGGAAATGTCCTGCCCAGGAGAACCAGGTAAAGCCGCCGGCCCCAGCTGAGGGGCTCGGGCAGACCTCTGTCACCAGCAGCTCATGTCACCCAACTGATCCCACTAATTACTGATTAATAACGAGTTAATGAAACAGAGCTCATTATCATTTCCAAGAGAGGTTTGGTTCGCAACCGAGCCCAGGGCAGTTTGCTCAGAGTGAAACCAAGAGCCGGTGAATCAGAGCACGCTTGGAAAATGTCAAATGAGGGACTCGGGGGCTACACAGGAGATTTGGAAATTCACATAAAATTTGGCAACATTTTGGTTGGAAAAATATCAGAGAATTAGGAAAAAGAGTCCCGGAATTTCCCTCCATTTAATTATTTTTAAAAAGGCTTCACCTTGACATTTTCAACGTGTTTCACACTTACACTTTCAAAACAATTACTCAGGTCTTAATTTCTGAGCAGTGATTTTTCCTTTACGAATCAACTTGACCGTATTCAAAAGGGTTAAACAACCTGAAACCAAACCCAAACATTTTGTTTCATGTTAAACAAAATGTTTGGACTTGACCCAAAATGAAACGTTTGAGTGTTTGTTTGGCCTCTTTTTTTTTCCTTTCTTTTTTGGTAACCTAAAAAGCCAGAGAGGAAAACCTTTTGAGTCAACACCAGCCCTTATTCTTTGATTCTGTCACCAAAATGAAATAAAACAAACATGAATTGTCCAATCTTCAACAGGAGTTTACTTACAAACAAAACCAAAGCCCCGACCCAACCCAGGAGTGCTTTCTAATACTGGAAAACCAGTTTACAGCCCTGGCTCCACGATCCTTCTCACCAGAACCATGGAAAGGTGTTTTTCTTGCACAAAATTAGCCCCACAAAGCCTGGCTGCCAATGCTGCCCGAGAAAAAGCCATTATTTCCCCATCCAGCCTCACACACAGGCAGGGGGCAAATCCTGTTCCTCTTCCCAGCGATTCCCAGACCAGCTCGCCCATTTTGTCAGCCTCAAAACCAGGTAAATACACTCTACATCCTCAGAGAAATATGCCAAGAATTTATAGAGATGGATTATAAGCCCAGCTCCCTGCAGAACTGCCATCCTGCCCAGCATCTCCCCGCACACCAGGCTGTGCCTGCGCTCCCCACACATCTCGGGGTGGCTCTGCTGGGTCCCCAGGGCTGGTGGCCTTCCCACAGCCCCCAGCCCACGGGTGGCATCTGGGGTTTATTATTTCCCTGAGTGAGGCGTGGGTGAGCCCTGCAGGTGGATGGGGCAGGGTGGGAGCTGTGGGGTCTGTCCAGAGCTGGGCTCTCCATGGGTGAC